TGGCAGGGGCATTTTTGAGAGACAGCTTGAAGATGGGGTGCAGGGAGCTATGAATGAACTAGAGAGATGCAAGGGGAGACTGCCCAGCATGTTCTCTGAGCTTTCCTGGCAAGCTGATTGCATTCAAGACTATGTGGTGGGAGTTAGGAGGAATTAAGAGTCTTCTGGAATGTAACTTGGTGCAGCCATTACAGAAAACAGTATGGAGGTTCCTCAAAACATTAAAAATGGAATAGAATATGAATATGATCCAGTAATCCCACTTCTAGGCATTTACCCAAAGAATAAGAAAACCCTAATTTGAAAAGATATGTGCACCCCTACGTTCACTGCAGTGTTAGTCACAATAGCTAAGAGAGGGAAACAACCCAAGAACTCGGGTAGAGGGTAGAGGCATGTGTACCAAGATTCCTCCACACTTTCCCCATCAGGAGACTTTACCTTCTATTCCCAGAAAGTCTGACGCCAAGGCCAAAAGTCAGGTGTGCAAGCTTTTGTGAGAGGCAGCCCCTGGGACAGACCTTGAGAAGGGCATGTGTGAGCCCTTGTTTGGGGAGTGGACAGCTGTCTGGATGACTGGATAAAGAAGATGTGGTAAATATACACACACACAGTCGAATACTACTCAGCTATAAAAATAAATGAAGAACTTTTGCTATTTGTGACGATATGGGTGGATCTTAAAGGGATATGCTATGTGAAATAAGTCAGAATGAGAAAGACAAATACCATATAGAGAATATAAACAAAGCAAACAAACAAAAATAAATTAAAAACGCAAACCCTTAGCCTGACAAGAGAATGGTGGTTACAGGAAAGGCCGGAGAGAGGAAGGAACGAAGAGAGGAGGCCAGTTGGGTGGGGGTGAATGGCGAGTGGTGGCAGGGTGTGCTTTGTACACCTGCTGAGGTGAGAAACTAGACACCCAAAACCTATATGCTGTTTGAAACTAATGTTACCGCGGTTTAAAAAAATCTTCGGAGGCCTTATGGGCCCTCTGATTGCAGGAATGATGCTGCAGCTAGAGCAAGCTGGGTGTGACGGGCAGAGGAATACCCACTGAGGGCAGGGACGACCAAACCTCTCATCTTGCCAGGCTCACACACACCCTTCTCAAGGTCTGTCCCAGGGGCTGCCTCTGACAAAAGCTTGCATGCCTGACTTTTGGCCTTGGCGTCAGACTTTCTGGGAATAGAAGGTAAAGTCTCCTGACGAGGAGGGTGTGGAGGAATCTTGGTACAGATGCCTCTACCCTGTGTCTGGACATCTTTGCTCTCTCCCAAGTCAGAGCCCACGGGACCTGTATCAGCAGGGGCTGTCTCTCTGTGGCCGTCACAGACACCAGCTTCTCTCAGAAGGTGACCTTCAACCAGACCAGGAGACGTGGGCCCAGCAGAGGGACTAAGCATCCAAGCAATTATGGGCACCAGAACTAGGAGGGGAGGCATGGGGCCAGGGAAGCAGTATCTGGGTAAAGGCTTTGAGGATCTGCCTAGGGTTCCAGGTGTCTTATATCTGGAACAATCCATCGTAGGACGCTGATGGGGCTGGCTGACATCTAGACCTGACTCAGAGGTAAAGTTTCTGACACCAAGGGACAGATGTGACTGTGAGGGGGACCTTGATCCCTTCCCAGAGACACACAGAAGGAAAGCAGCAGGCAGGGCCTTAGGGGCCTATGGAAAGGACTCCCAGCCCCCAAACTGTGGTTGTGACTGTCAGAAATGCTGTCCCCACGGAACATGGATATTCTGGGATTTGGCATCTGAGGCTGTAACTGTGAGCCTGGGCCAGAGGGCCACCTGGTGGGGCCAGCCTGCTGGCAGGCCCCCCAACATCCTCTAGGAAGGATAAGAGGTAGAAGAAAGGAGGCCTTGCTAGAGAGCCAGAAGCCCAGCTGCCATGAAGGAGAGACTGGGGCCCCAAAAGGGAAATGGTGTCCAGGAAGGGGACTGAGGGCCACAGGTTTGGGGCCCCTCACTCTTGGGGGCCTGTCTCTCAGGGAGTGGCTTGGCCTGGCAAGGCAGTCTGGGAAATCCACTCAAAGAGGCTGCTGCTGCTGTTGTGCAAGTGGCTGCTTAAGCGCCTCCCGCTGGGGAGACGGAGGAGGAGTCATAGATGGTAGCTGCTGGGAGTCAGGCCAAGAGGTCCCCATGGACAGGCTGCAAGGGGACTTGGCTACAGAAACCCTCCCCGCAACCTGGACTGGCTGTGGCAGAGATTTTCGAGGACAGAATGGAATTTTTGCTGGGCAAAGGGGGTTTCTCTGCTCCTGGGAAGATTGGGTTGGGGGCACCCAAGAGCCTTTCTGATCTTTCTCAGGAGGGTCAGAGCCCAGTGGGAGGGGAGCGAGGGGGAGGTGCTAAGGGAGGCTGGAATGCAGCTGCTTCCTCTTGAGACAGGCCTGGGGGCCCAGATGGTGGCCATTCTGCTGAACAGGAGTAAACCAGGGCAGGCAGGGCAGAGGCTGGAGGGCAGTAGAATGTAATCACCCCATGCTGGTCTGGCCTGGAGGGCTGGGGAGACACAGACACAGAGGCTACCCCAAGTGATCATCAGGAATGTGTTGGGAGGGCCAGTTCTGGAATGCAACCCTCCTCTACAACACAGCATGGCTGCCCAGTGAGGTGACACACTCACAGAAAGTTCTAGTGTCAGGAGGAGAGCAATCTGTCTGCAGTGATGGACAAGTTTAAAATGTACCCTCAAAAAGGCAGGAACCACAGACTGACCCTCACAGAAAGCTGTGTGTGGGGAAGGAACAAAGGGAGAGGGAAGGGAGTAGGGGCTCAGGGTGCAGAGCTCTGAGACACACAGACCTTGAAGCCACAGACCTGCACCTTCCCAGAAGGGAGCAGTGTCCCAGTCCCGGCCATCTGCAAAGGGCACAGGCATGCAAAGCAGGAGGGGGTGCTCTGAGCTAACTCAAGGGCTGGCTTCCCTGCCTCTGGCCTGTGAATAGGGTCCTTTCTTCGACTCATTCTCAGAGGGCTTGGCCAGGGGTCCCGGGCCAGAGGTGAGTGAGCTGAGCTTGGTCTATGCTCTGGATTATCTTCCTTCCTTACACCCTTGTTTTTGCCAAGTCTTGTTCAGTTGTACTGTCCCAACCCTGTGGGGTGGGATGAATGCAGAAATGGGAGGGAGGTGGGGGTGGCACTGCCTAAGGTCACGGAAGAGTGGCAGGGCCAGAGGGGGGAGGTGAATCTTGGGCTTGGGGTCCAGCTGCTCTGTGGCAAGAACAGGAACAGGGTCCTGAGGTCAGGCCCCTCAGCACTGAGGTCAGTGGGCGGGGACACACCTGGGTATTTGGAGCCTTCACACCTGCTGATTCTCCTCGGAGCATGTAGAAGTTCTATTTGGGGTTTCTACTTCATAGAAGCAGAAGGCCACCTTGGAAGCAATCAGTGTTGTCCTGTGAAGTGGTCACCAGAATGGCAACACCACCGCCCCCTCAACATGTTTCTGATACCTGTCTTGGGCACTGTCAAGTAGTTTTCAAGCCACCCAAGAGAGTAGGTCTCGTTACTTTATAGGATACATCTTGCTTGGCCCCTGAAAGCCTTGCTCCCACTTCATACTCAACTTGATTTAAAAAATTTCACTCAGAGGCCAAAACTTTGGGTCCAAGGAGGACAATGGCAAGAATGAGCCCCTGCCATTCCCAAAGAGAAATACCTAAGAGGATGTGGGGCTGTGTCAGCGCCACCAGAAGGATGTGGGTCTGTCCAGGGGAGTTCTCTGGTGGGGACGGTGACAATGTGGGAAAAGGACCTTGTCTAGCACGTCACGGTCACAGGGTGGGTGGTCCAGCTCTGACACACTGAAGTGACCTCCCCCGAGGCAAGGCCACTCACTGAACTTTGAAGACCGGCCTCACACCAGCCACAAGACCATATCTTCCCAAAATGAGGCCCACTAAGACCTAGCAGTAGACAAATCTGCCCTTCAGTTTTGCCTACAAAAGCTGCTGTGCCGGCCTGCTGCGCACGCTGGCTGAAGGGGATGGCGGCCATGAACGACGAAGGATTTACCATCCACTGATTTTAAATTCTGTAATAGCATGAAATTGACCCTCTTCCTAACCTGAGAGGCAAGGACTCCTTCCTTTGGCCTAACCCAAAAGAGGACTGAAAGGGTGATTAGGGGTCTCTATAGTTTCCTGGTGACAGATTTCATAGTCACATTTGGACTGGAGCTCAAGTCCCAGCTCTGTCACTTGGCAGTTGCACTCGCCAGTGGTTCACTAGCCACTGGGAGACGGGTCTGTGACAAAAGCTACAGCACCTGCCGCCTCACCAGGACGTGGCTGGGCTGAGAGTATCTGTGAGGTGGACTTAGGGTAGCCCCTGGCAGGCTGAACATGCTCCAAATACAGTAAAGGGGCTGCGGCCACTGGAGACCTTCAAACTAGCACCCGTGGATCTCAGTGACTAAGGGAGAGGAAGGTCAAGCCAGCAGGGTGGGTGCCACAGCCCCTCAATTCTGCCTTAACCAGAACAGCTCTGCTCTTGTTTTACATCTCAACCTTCCAGCAGCCAGTATTGTGTTTGAGAAAATATTTTAGCTCTGGAGTTTGAAAATCACTGCACCTGGCAATGCCTGGCATGCCGGCCTTCCGGCTATGAACTTGATGTGCGTCTGGGGTCCGGGTGGACCTCCCCTGAGTTGGTTTTCTCTTTCTATTTTGCTCTTCCATGGCTGTCTGCTGTTTTCACTTTGGCCTCTGACTCTCTCCCCAGCACCCTAGGCATCGCCCCGAAACCCTGACCCTCTCCCCGATGCCCTGGCCCTCTCCTTGGCAGCCTGTTCTCTTCCTCGCACCCTCACCCTCTCCCCAGCACCCTGGCCCTCTCCTTGGTGCCCTGACCCTCTCCCCAGCACCCTGACCCTCCCCCCTCTCAGCACCCTGACCTTCTCCCCAGCGCCATGGCCCTCTCCCCAGCACCCTGGTCCTCGCCCCGGCGCCCCTCTAGCCCCACCCCAAGGGCCGCGATGCGCACCTGGTGAAGCGGACCTCGCAGATGGTGCACATGTATGGCTTCTCCCCAGTGTGGGTCCTCATGTGCCGTGGCAGCTTCCCAGCCCCCATGATGACCTTGTGGCAGATGGGACACTGCTGCGAGGCCTTGGGCTTCAGCTTGCGCTCCTCCACCAGCGGCCAGGGCGGGAAGAGGCCCCCCAGGTGGGTGGCACTCAGGAAGTTGAGATAGGCACCATAGTCGTTCTCCGCCTTGATGGGGCCCAGCGGCCCCCCGGGCAGGTCGGGGAACATGTCCTTGAAGAAGTCACCGGGGAAGGGCGGCGGTGGGGCTGGGGGCATCTCCTCCCTCTCCTCCTCCTTGATCTTCCGGTTCTTGATGACCAGGTCCAGCGGCCCGCTGTCCAGGGGCTGTTCGGGCAGCTGGGCAAAGGCACCGAAGTCCCCTGGCCAGAGGTGCGGGAAGAAGTCGGGGGCAAACGGAGACAAGGAGGGTCTCCTGTCGGGGATGTCGGCTTTGGGGTACAGGTTTTCCCTCAGCAGAGACTCGATGGAAAAGTCCCGGATCACACCCAGGTGGCCGGGGCTGCCGGCCGGAAAGGAGTCGGGGAAGTCTCGGGGCGGGTCTGCATAGGCCTCTTCCGTGAGGTGGTCGGCCTTGGAAGGACTCTGGTGGCAGCTGACGTCCTGGGGGTCAGGTAAGTTCTCCTGGTCGGCAAAGTCCTCCGTGTCATCGTCCTCCTCCTCGTCCTCCTCCTCGTCCTCCTCCTCGTCCTCCTCGTCATCGTCCTCCTCGTCGTCATCATCGTCCTCCTTGTCGTCTTCCTCGCCCCCGTCCCCCCCGGGCTCCATGATCTCCAGGCACACGTTGACGATGCACTGGATCTCCAGCATCCGGGCGGCGTTGAGGATGTGCTTGATGTTGGCGGCGGTGATGGTGAGGGTGGACGTGTAGGCGAACTCCAGGATGGCGGCCAGCGCCTCGGGCTGCACGAAGTCGATCTCGTAGACGTAGGGCTGGCTGGCTAAGGTGCCGGCCGTGAAGAGCTTCTTGAAGTACTTGCTGCAGGCGGCCAGCACGGAGCGGTGGGTGCGGTACTCCTGCTCCTGCACCACCAGGAGCACGTCACAGAGCAGGCCGTCATGCCGCTGCTCGTTCAGGCTGCACAGGACCTCGCTGCTGTGGTTGGGGAAGGGAATGCCGATGAGCTCGTCAATGCCATTGGCCATGTTCTCAGCCAGAGCCCTGCGGGGACACACAGAGAGGGAGACCAGGGTTAGAGGACACAGGCCCAGGAAGGGACAACCGGCTTCGGACTCCGGGCCCGGGTGGCCAGGCTGGTAGGCGTGCTCACCAGCCCTGCCCTGCCTTTGCCGAAGGCCTCCCTCTCCGCTCCTCTCTGCTTTTCCAAGTCCCACCCGCAGTTCAGAGCCCGGCTCACATGCTGGGGTCATCACTGGGCTCCTGGCCTGGCCCCTAGGGTCCTTGGAGTTAGCTTATCATGGGCAGGGGTCCATAGTGTCTAGTGAAGGCCAGGGTGGCTTCTCCAGGGCACGATGTCACTGAACTCTGCTTTGTTCATGTGGGAGTGGACACCGGGGTGGACAGGCACAGAAACAACTGCTGTGTGTGCCATGGGAATTACGTCCACACACACACACCTGCCAGTCATGGACCAAAGGGGAGATGTTTTCTCAGGGTGCACAGCCAGGACCTCAGTTATGACTGTATCTTTGGGGGTACAGCCTTTAAAGGGTAATTAAGGTAAAATGAGGTCCTTCGGGTGGACCCTCATCTAGTATGACTGGTGTCCTAATGACTGATGTCCTAATGAGAGGAGAATAGGACACAGACACACAGAGGGACGTTCTCGTGAAAACTCAGGGAGATGGTCAAGGAGAGAGGCCTCCTAAGGCACCAGCCTTGCTGACACCTTGATCTTGGACTTGTAGCATCCAAAATGGGGAAAATAAATGTCTGTTCTTTGAAGCCCCCTACTCTGCGGTACTTTGCTATGGCAATTCTAGCAAATGGGTAAAACTACCAGGGATCATGAATTTTGGGGTTCATTTTCAGCAAGGGACTAGGGACTTGTGGCATGTGTTTTGCCTGCTGACCTTACTTGTGGCTTCATCTTAGTTGATGATGTTTCCCTTTATTTGAAATTCTTGATTTTTTTCCCCCTAACATACTGACATCCCAGATATGTATATCTGTGAGTCATTTCATCTAGAAATAAATATTTAAGGTCAGTTTTAAAGTCAAGTGCATTGTTATTTGCTTTATCATGTCTGTATTCTGTTACCCTCAGGAAAACATATCTCCTTTAGGAGGAGGAGATATGTTTAGGACAAGGCGACAAGCTCTTCGCCTTGTCTATATTAAATATGAAGTGTGGCAGGAACAGCCTCAGGAGGGAGGAGTACAGGAGTACAGGGCAGAGGACCACAGTCAGCCCCTCCCCAATTCATAGCCCACGTCAGCAGATCTAACCTGCACAAAAAGCCGCCTCAAGTTTCATGCCAGAGCAAAGAGGGTCCTTTTACTTAGGGCAAAACTTGACCGTGGTCCATAGATAAAATCCTAGCAAAAACCTGGCCCGGACCCTTGTGCAATTACAGCAGGGAGAAAGTAAAAAGAAACCCAAACCCAAAAGCCTCACACCCAAGTGAGAAGAGCTTTGGGGATCCTCACACATTTATCTTTTGATGTTTCTGCCCTAGGAAGGCAGATAAAGGGGAAGGGGAGGAGCGAGAAATGCTCACAGTATGTGCCTGGAGGAATCAGGTGCCCAGAGGGCAGTTCAGGCTGTGGGGTGTCTGTCTTCACCCTGTCTTCTCACTCATGGAGGACCCCAGCCTTCCCAGCAATCCACCTGGGCAGGTGCTCAGGAGGTTTCTCAGAGCTAAGGCTTCGCTATTTTCTTGATTTCTCATCATTAAAGGGCCAGAGACCTCACAGGTTATGCCTTTACTCCTAAAATGGTCACCGGATTTCTCCCTGTGCCGGGCAGGCATGGGCTCCAGCATGCACAGAGAGCAAACCGAGAAGTCCCTGCTGTAATGGAGCTTACTGGGACATAAGAACTATAACAAAAAATATAGCAAGGTATATCAACGAGGATTCGCAGATGGTAAACATGCCATTTCATTTGAAGAAGATGTTCAGCATCACCAGACACTAGGGATATACAGATTAAAACCACAACAAGATACCACTATAGCCCTATCAGAATGATTAAAATAAAAACTAGTGACGACACCAAGGGCTGATGAGGACATGAAGAACTTGGATCACTCAGATGTTGCTGGTGGTAATACAAAATAGTACAGCCACTCTGGAAAACAACGTGGCGGTTTCTTAAAAAAAAAACAAAAAACAAAAAAACAACTAAACATACAACTACCCCACAACCCAGCAATCATACTCTTGAGTATTTATCCCAGAGAAATGGAGACTTATGACCACACAAAGACCTGTACATAAATGTTCATAGCAGTTTTTGAAAGGTCGATGCAGGACGCAGGTAGCCTGGATGCAAAACCCCACCAGGAGGCTCACCTGGGAGCAGGAATGCGGAACTCTGCCTGGAGGATTCGGGCAATGAGCCTCACCTGCCCTACAAACTTTATCCCCACCCAGTTTACCACGTCACCTCTCCTCACTCTATAAAAAGCTTGTCTTCCCCTGATAATGCGTGCGAATTCACAGACCCCCATCTTGGGTCAGTGAATTCCGCCAGGGAGCAATAAATTTTCCTTTCCTTTAGAGAAAGCTTGGCCTGGCTCTTCCTTACCGCGTTGTACCTTTCAGTTTTGTGGATAATTTTTAATAATTAGAAACAACCCAGATGGCCCTCAGTGGGTGAATGGTCAAACACCTACACAATGGAATACTACTCAGCAATAAAAAAGGAATGAGCTATTAATACATGAAAACACATGAATGAATCAGAGTGAAAAAGGCCAATGTCAACTGTATAAGTCCATTTATATAGCATTCCTAAGACAACAAAATTATAAAACTGGAGAGCAGATGAGGGGTTAGTGGGTAAGGAGGGGGTTGGGGCAGGAAGGAGGTGGGCATGGCTATAAAAGAGTAACGAGATCTTCCTGGTAACAATAATGTTGTGCCTGAGCTTTCTCTAGGCAAGAGGTGGGGGTATGCTTCTTAATGTTTTATGGTATTTTTGGGAGGAAGTGCTCTTCCCTGCACTCTGGAAGCTTCCCCGGGGACCCTCGATTTCCATGTCTGGAGGACCAGTTGACAAGTATCCCCAAGGAGATGCCCTGCCCTGCCTCCACCTTCCTGTCTAAATATTCTATCTCCTCCCTCCCATTGGGCATTCTACCTTTTAGGATAACACCCTCAGGAAAGAGAATCTCATACACACACATAGTGAAAACAAAACAGAAACTCTCAACAGTTAGGAGCCGCTCAGTGCAAAACATTAGCCTCTGGTTCTAAGGCAAAAGAAAAACAGAGAACAGAAATAAAGGAGAAGGGAAAGGGGCAAGAGGACTCAGAAATGGGGAAGGAGGTTAAAGAGGAAGAATGCAGGAACAGTGAAACCTTTGCTGGTGTGGTCACCAGTCTAAAGAACTTGAGGCCTGCCACAGCTTCCCCTGAACCTCTACTGTCAGTGGAATGTTCTAGAAGCCAGGTATGTCCAAATAGCCCCATGTGACAAGGCAGCACTTCTCATTTCTGGGCCTTGGTGTATTCAAATATAAAAAGAGAACATCTTCTCACCGCAGGTACTTGACCTGCATTCTCCTTCCTTCTAAGGGGAGAGATTGTGCCCTTAGTTTATGAGAGGAACAGTGAATTTCCTTCTACGTGGATTCTCATTTAATCGTCTCGAAAATCACATGACTGTCATCATTGTAATTTTCAATTGGGGTGGAGGCAGGGTGACTGGTGGGGAGGCCAGTGCCTGGGGCCCACAGGAGAGAACTGCAGACATCCAGGGGCTGTAGAGGTCCCGCAGCAGAAATTTCTCCAGTGTGACTTGATTTTTGTTTGTGTGTCCTGTTCTAAAACTAAATCAATCCGTCAGGAAGCCAGCATTTATAATAATAATCACGACTAGCCACCATCTAGCTAGTGCCTGTCCCACAGCACACTCTGATCTTTCTTCAACCAACCCATCTCTGAAAGGTACTTCGTTTTATTCCAACTTAGAGATAAAGCAACAGGTAAGGAGAGAGAAGTCAGTTGCCAGTGCCTATGCGAGCAAGTGCCTGAGCCAGGATTTGAACCCAGCTGCATTTAGTGCCAAAGTTAACTCCCTTTATCATACTGCCCCCCCCCCCACAAAGTCCAATTTTGGGGCAGGAAGATTAGCGCTATCCACCACCCCCCCTCCACCCCCCCACCCCGGCCCCAGAGGTTGTCTCTTACTTTAGAGATTTGACCGGAGCCAGAGCTGAAGGGTGTGCAACAGCGGGGCTGAGACCCAGGTGTGCAGGGGGACTTAGCACTGAGTGCAAATGAGGGAACCGATGGGGCAGGGACTTGATTTCTACTCCAGCCCCATTTCTGTCCTGTCCTCGATGGCTGTCATGGGGGTTTGACTTTTGGGACAATTCTATTGCCACGATCCACAAGTGTTGAGCCTCCCTGCATCCTATTCAGCTCAGCACGGCTGGGGCTCAGTGAGCTTCCATCTGCCAAGGCCTGGGGTGGGCTGGCTCCAGTCAGCAGATGTCCACTGCCCTGGGAGTGTTCCCACCTGCTCCCCAACCTCCAGCAACTCTCTTGCCTGAGGCTGGAGATTCAAAGCCACCTGGTGGAGTTAGTTACTGGGGAGAGGGGGAAGGGATGTGGCACAGGGGCAGAGAAAGGATGTGGATTTCTTTTCCAGACCTGGAAATGAGGCTGGGCAGCAGCTAACTGCACTCTTTAAGTAGGTTCCTGCTCCCTGTGGTCTGTGCAGGCATTGACGTAGGAAAGGGGACAGTGGGCCGGGGTAGGAGAGAGGGCAGGGGGCCTGGCCCAAGCAGCTGGCCAGCCCCAGGGATCTCTGCTGGGTGTGCCCCACCCCGCCCTTGGCAGTTCCCCTAAACAGGGCAGCCACACCCCTTAGCCCCGGAATGCCCCCAGCCTCAGCTGCCCTAGAAGCTGGGGCCAGACATGTGGGCTGGAAGGCTGGGCAGGCCCATTTCAACTTCCAGCCTGTGCCCCGCCTGCTGGAGCACCCCAGGCAGAGCGCCCACAGCTGGTGAAGCAGGCCCCACCTGCTC